AGGAGTTGCCCAGAAAGAAGCTGGCAGGAAACTTACCCCAAACTCAGTGACGAGGATGTCGGTGATGCTGCCCAGAACAGTCACAAAGTCGAAGATGTTCCAGGCATCGCGGAAATAATTCTAGAATGGGGACCCACAAGACAGAGATGCCATCTCAGGGCTCCATGCCCAGTCCCCCATGACCAGCCGGGGCACAGGTGCCGATTGGCCCACGTGCCTGGGACAGTCTTGGTCATTTAAGTAGCAAAGTGAGTGGGCTCCTCTGGGTCACTCTTCCACAGAACCACAGGCCTGCCACTGGCTCGCCTGGCCCCAGAGGGGGCCTCTAGGTCCCTCTTCAGCTTTGCTGGGGAGAAGACCCTTGGAAGCAAGGATTATCACCCATTTAAACAAGACAAGTTCAGAGAGTGAAGTCGTTCACCCCCCTGGTAGGCGAGCAGCACGGAAGTCAGGATTTGACCCCAGGCTGGGACCTCGAGTCCAGACGCTATGTTGAGGACCCTATTGAATTAGGACTGTGTTTACAGCATACTCCCCACAAGGGTTGACCACTGGGTTCACATCCCAGCTCTGCTACTGTCCAGCTGTGTGGCTATGGGCTAGTGACTTAACCTCTCTGGGCCTCCACTTCCTAAACTGGAGAAAGGGAATAGTAACAAGGGTGGAGAGGCCTTCTGGGCTCCCTAGTGGTTAGACGGGGCCATGTGTCCAGTTCCAGCAGACGGGCTATGAGCAGAGTCCGCGTGAGTCACTTCCTGGCCAGTGTGAGACTGTCAGAACTCTCTTAACCTTGGCAACCTGGAACATTCTAGATGGGGGATGCTTCAAGGGTCTGGGTCCCTGAGTAACTATAGGCAAAGAGCCCCCCTGCTGAATGTCAACAAAGCAATTGAGATGTGGGGGTTGTTTGTTACTGTAGCTGACTTAATAGGTTCTGATTGGTATATCCCTGGGCTGGGTACTGGCTCAACTGGGACACACAGGTACAGCTAATTGTCGTTAAAATACTGAAATATTTCACAGGATTTGAGCCCACCCTTGCTTGGGTCTAAGGGTCTGGCTTAGATGGCCCTCCCCTCAAGGCTTGGTGGGACTCATACCAAACACAGGCCTTCCCAGCATCCTCACAAAGCAGAGGCCGGGGTGTTCTAAGTGCTCAGCTACCCCCCTGAGTATCTGACTCTGCAGCAGCCCCTCTGCCTCACGGAGACGGGCCCAGACTTTGGAGCTTCCCAGTATCAAATTCTTTCAGCAAGGTTGAGTTAAATGTCCTGAGCTGGACTCTGTGGGTCTTGGTGCCCTCTTCTGGAAGATAGGGTATAAGAGCAATAAGATTATGGAGTCTCAGCGGGATTTGGTATACAGTAGGTGCTCAATAGGTGACGTTGTTGTTTTACCTAAAAGCAATTGAGGTTCTGCTGGCACTTTTAGTATTTTAGCAGGTGCTGCTGGGGCCCTGCTCATATCCCTTCATATTTTGACTGCGCACCTTTGTTACTCTGCTCAGGGGCTTTCCCAGGCTGCATATTTGCTGGGGAATGAACAGCTCCCCTGGGAGCAGCCTTTAATTATGGCTGATGGGCACTGGAGGGTAACACCCCAACTCCCTCCCCTGTGAATTGAATGATGCTGATGTGCTCTGCTGCCACCTGGAGATCCCCAGCAGAACTTCAACCTGTACTGGATACCTTTGGGACCCCCATCTCCCCTACCATGTATTTCCTGGGGTCACCTCTCAGATAAGTTTTCACTCAATCCTTGTCTCAGGTTCTGCTTCTGGGGGAGCCCAAAGGAAGGCAGTTTCCTCGGCGTGTAGTGACAGGCCTCAAGCCCCTGGACTACAAGGCTCCCCTCTATGGCCTAAATTTCACATGGGGAACTTGGGGTTTCATCTAAAATGGAAGCGGGAGGCTTTTTGTAGGCCCCTGTGGGATTGTCAAAGGCTGGGGAGTTGGAGCCCCAGCCTATGGCAGAAAATCACTTCATCACCAGGAGACTGATTAGGAATGAAAATTGTCTGACAGCTGCATTGGGCAGGGCCCATGGTACTCTCATTTTGCAGATGTGGACACAGGAGCAAAGAGGCCAAGTGCCCTGCTTGTGGCCACACAGCTAGAAAGGGGCTGAGGCAGGATTCGCACCCAGGTATGGGCACATCAGAGCTCAAGCTCTTCCCCATACACATTCTATGACTTGTCCTGGTGGCATTCCCAGGACAGGAATGCTGCCACTGTCCTGGATTCAGGGTGCTTCCCCTGTCTGGCTGGTATGCAGTGCAGGGCCTGACAGCCTGAGTAGTACCCTGGACTCCCCTGGGGGAATTTATTAAAAATAGATTCAGGCCCTGGCAGGGTGGCTCAGTTAGTTGGAGCGTTGTTCCGTGCACCAAAAGGTGGCAGGCACATACCCAGGTTCTGGGTTTGATCCCCAGTTGGGGTGTGTGTGGGAGGCAACTGATTGATGTTCCTCTCTCACATCGCTCTCCCGCCCCTGTTCCTTTCTCTAAAAAAATCAATAAAAATCAATAAAATCTTTAAAAAAATACAGATTCAGGGACCCCCACCAGACCAAGTGGATTAGAATCTTGGGGTGGGTCTGGGGCATGATTCAATTTTATTTATTTATTTATTTATTTATCTATTTATTTATTTATTTTAAAAAAATATATCTTTATTAATTTCAGGGAGAGGAAAGGTGAGGGAGAGAGAGAGACAGAAACATCAATGATGAGAGAGTCATTGATTGGGCCCGCAACCCGGGCATGTGCCCTGACTGGGAATCGAACCCCGATCGCCTGGATCCTAGGTTGACGCTCAACCGACTGAGCCACGCCCGCTGGGCATGATTCAATTTTAAAAAAATCTCCCCAAGCTCGGCTGGTGTGGCTCAGTTGGTGGAACGTCATCTCATGCACCAAGATGTTGCCAGTTTGATTCCAGGTCAGGGCACGTGCCTGAGTTCTGGGCTAGATCCCCAGTAGGGGGCGTGCAGGAGGCAGCCGACTGATGTTTCTCTCCTTGCATCGATGTTTCTCTCTCAAATAAATAAAAACATATTTAAAAAAAAATCTCCCCAAGTACTTCTGACAGGTAGCAGAGCTGGGAGTCACTGCATTCGAGAGAGGTGGGGCAGTGAGCTTTATTGTAACCCTTCCTAGCATTTATTGAGTGCTCACTGCCAGGCTTCACTGTCCCCAGACACACATTATTTGCATTTAGGGTTTGCAAGAGCTCTTCTGAGAGAGAGGCAGAGGGCGGGCCCTTCTTGTGACGGAGGAGAGAGAGCTGAGGTGACGGAGCCTGGATACTATTTGAATCAAGATCTCTCTGGTGCTAAGGCTGACGCCCTTTACCACTTTGGGAAGCCAAGGTGAGAGCCAGGCTCCATCCCCCCTGAGACTCAGGCTGGCACCACATGCTGCAGATCATTCTTGCAGAGAAACAGGCTAATGGGGTGGTCAAGAGAGAAGACACCCTGTTTCAAGTCTCAGCTTGGTCACTCACTGGGGACCTTCTTGAAGTCACCCCAAGTTACAACCCATTCAGCTCAGGCCTTCTTCACCTCAGGCCTTCTTCATCTGGGAAGACCTTCTGAGAGTAAGTTTTATAAATGCATAAAATAAAATACTCAGAATTGCAAGAACACTCATTATATTGAAATACAATGATCAAAAATATTTTTAAATGGTGATCTAATGATGAATGCACTTCAATACACTAAATATGTTTTAATGGGAGGTTTGGTAACCACCAGCAATCTAAAGCAATGAGGAGCACAAATTGAACTCTGAAGTCCCTGCAACCTCTGTAATGCACAAGGCAGGCATCTGATTTTATCAGTGACACAGGTTGTATTGTTAATACTGCAGGGGTCTGTTGTCTGCCTGCAAGATGGAAGGAAATGCTAAAGTCCAGTTAGCAGCTGGCAAAAGATAAAGATGTAATTTTTTCACATGTAATTTCACAGATCCTCCTTCACCCATCCACAGATCCCTTCAGGGCTCAGTGGGCCTCAGGCTAAGACCATTTGCATTACTGGGAGGTGAGATCAAGTGAGTGGGTTCTAAACTGCATTTGAAAAAAACAAGGAAATGGAATCGAGTAGAATTGACAACTTCAGAGTTCAGGGCATGTGATAAGGGTTGGCACTAATTTCATGAAAATTTCATTTTGGTTGTCGATATGCACGCCTGTGTGCCGGGCTCCATTGTAAAATGTATTTCTTACTGTGGACTGCAGTTGGAACAGTTTGAACGCCATGGACTTGGACTGTCTGGATATCAGTTTGCTTGTTTCTAAAACCCCTGGATGACAGTTATTCCCACCCCTTGGGTCATTTTGAGGAATGAACGCCTTGCACATAACAAGTCAGCATGTGCCAGGTATTGTCGCTGCTACCTGGCAAGCACAAGAACGTCTAAGTAGAGTCTGTGGGCATTGGAGGGATGCTCAAGCCACCACGGGGGTTGGGGGGCTTGGGCCAGGTGAGTAGACCACCACCCAGCCCCCAGTGCCCCTCCCTGCTTCCCCCTAACCCCCAACTCTAGCCCCAAGGCTGTACTTACCAGAATCCCAAAAGCCATGACTTTCAGCAGACATTCCAGAGAGAAGAGGGAGGTGAAGACGATGTTGAACACCCTCAGAGCGTTTTCATAAGCAAGCGAGGCCCCATAGAACTAGAGTAGGAAGAGGGAAGGGTGTCGGGGTCACACTTGGGGTCCCTATTGATGCCCTGTGGAGTCAACTCCAGGCAAGCTCTTCACATCAAAACAAAATCTCCTTTCTTGGATCCTGTCTTAGACCCTGGGTCAGCCTGGCTGGGTGGGACTTGCGAGGATGTCTAAAGCATGCTCCCTACAGGATTTCCTTTGTTTCCTCAGATCTCTCTTTTCATTCCTACCTGCATGCTCCCATGAGACCACTCCCAGACCAAGGTTTACAACATTTCCAACCCCAAAGAGTTTTCTTGTATCCCTCCCCAGTTGGTCACCTGCCCGAGGTAACTGCTCTTCTGACTCCTTATAAAATATTCTTGACTGAACTATTTAATCAGACTTGAATCTATAACCTTTAGACCTAACTCCCAGTTTAGGAAATATCGCAGATGGAGGAAGATGATATAGTACCCCGAGGGAACCCATGCACCCAGGGCTGGAACCATTTCACTCGGTTTATCTGGTTTCCTCAAAAAGTCAAGAGCGTGGAAAAAAAAAGAAGGTATGGATGGGGAGGTTGGAGATTTACAAGACAAAAACTGGAGGCCCAATGTAGCCATTTAGATCTTGGCTCAAAAAACAACTCACTGTAAGAGACATTTTAGGGACAATTCAATATAGATCTTAGGGAATTATCACTCATCTTGTCAAAAATAAGAATGTGTAAGAAAATGCTCTTCTTTTTAAGAAATGCATACTGAAGAACTTAAGGGCAAAAGAGTGTGGTGTTTACAATTTAAAATACTTAAAAAACATAGATGAAGTGTCCATAATAGGTAAATCCATAGAGACAGAAAGCAGACTGTGGTTGCAAGGGCTAGGGGAGAGGAAATGGGGAGTGACTGCCAATGGGGGCTGGTTTTCTTTTGTGGGATGGAACTGCTTTGAAATTGATGGAGGTGGTGGCTGAACAATATGGTGAATATACTAAATGTCACTCAATTGTACACTTTGAAATGGTGAATATTATGTTATGTGAATTTCACCTCAATAAAAATAATGAGAGCCCAGCTGGCGTGGCTTAGCGGTTGAGCATTGACCTATGATGTGGGAGATCGAGGTTCAATTCCAGGTGCAGGCACATGGCCGGGTTGGGGCTCGATCCCCAGCAGGGGGTGTGCAGGAGGCAGCCGATCAATGACTCTCTCTCATCATTCATTTTTCTATCTCTCCCTCTCCCTTCCTCTCTCTGAAATCAATAAGATATATTTTAAAAAATGAGAAAAAAATAGATGAAGTTAAAAGTAAAGTGTTTTAGATGGGTAACTGTGGGTAATGGAGACTGGGTGTCCATGAGGACCTGGACACTCAAAGTGTGGTCCAGGGATGCTGTTGGGAAATGCAGAGTCCCAGGCCCATCTCAGACCTGCCGAACCAGCATAGCTATTAACAAGACCCAGATAATCCGTGCACACATTAGTTTGAGAAATGCTGTGCTCTACGTATCCGTTCTCATCCATTTGTTTGAAACTGTTCATCATCATAACAATGAAAAAATAAAAGAACCTGCTTATGGAGAAGGGTTTTTGAATGAAAACAGGCACTACTTTTTCACCAGTTCAAAAATTTGCAGCTCAGTTTATTGAGTGTTTTTGAAGCATCCAGAAATGTGTTAATGTCTTTGCCTGAACTTTCCATTCAATCCTCCTCTCCAACTGGGGGAGGACGGTGTTATTATTAACACCCCCATTTTATTTATAGGAAAACCGAAGCCCTGAGAAGTCATGGGTCACTGTGCAAGGTTAAACAATGAATTAAAGGGCAGCGCTGGACTCAAATCCAGGCCTTTGGTCTTCAAAGCACAAATGGAAAGAGGCTGTGTGGCCCTGAGGGTGGCAAGGTCCTTACCTGTCCCTCCTTCCTCATGTCATTTATCAAATATTTAGCAAGGGCCTTTTGTTCCCTCTAGTCAGACCCTCATGGAACCCTAGCAATTTAGGGGTGACCAGGACTTGTCTGGCCCCTTGGAACTCACAGGCTGGTGGGGAGACTGTCGGGCAACCTACACTGATATCAGGGCATATGAGAACACTGTAGGATGCTTGCAAAGATGGGCACCTGGTGCAGTGTTGGGAGTTCAGGGAAGGCTTCCTGGAGGAAGGGCTGTGCAGGTCGCGCTAGAAGGAGCAGGCCAGACAGAGTGGTCGGAAGTGTGTGTCAGGCACAGGCTGGGTGGTAACAGTGTGGTCTCACAGCAGATGGTTCCATTTTGCTAGAGGAGGGCAGGTATGGGGTGCAGGGATGTGGTGGGGTGTAGCAGGGCCAGGGGCTCACCTTCATCATGAGCACGATGGTGTTGAGGGCGATCATGGCCATGATGGTGTACTCAAAAGGCGGAGACACCACAAACTGCCACATGCGGTACTGGAAGCTCTGCTTGTTCTGGGGCATGTGTCGGGTCAGAGGTTTGGCGCTGATGGCGAAGTCGATGCAGGCCCTCTGTGGGAGACAGGCCAGTGGCGTGAGGGCCAGAGGCGAAGAGCGCCAGACACTGAACACCCTCTGGCTAACTTGGCACAGCTCTCCGCCACATCCTGCCCCCAGCTAGGATTCCTGGACTCCACATACGCTTGCCATGATGGCTCTGTTCTCCCAACAGCCATGGCTCCTTGAGAAGTCACCGTCTGCCAGAACTGGCACTGACATGTCCCCGATTATCTCATGGAATCCCCTTAGCAAACATGGGAAGTAGGTACTATTAATAGCTCCACTTTGCAGATGAGAAAATAGACGCTCAGAGAGGTTAAGCCACTTGCTTGAGGTGGAACAGCTATAAACTGGGCCAAACCTGAATTTAAACTAAAGTTTCACTTTGAAGCCTAACCATTCTTTCCTACTGAATACTTTGCTTCTCTTCCTCTTGGAGGGAGAGATAGAGGGAGGAATCATGGTTATGATGTCTTAGGTGCCAACAGAGTAAAGGAAGGATACATTCTAGATCCTCCATCTAGCTTGGATGATGCTAGACAAAGGACCATGTCTATACACTCTGTTGTACTGGATTTTCATTCATAAATATTCGCCACACCTCCCTGAGGGACGTTATACTTCCCAGCCCCACTGACATCCCATGTGGATGTGTGTGACTCACTCAGGCTAATGAAATGTGAGCAGAGGTGACTTGTGTTACTTCTGGGCACAAGCCTCAAGAGTTGGGTGATGGTTTGCCATATATATTCTCTTTTTTATCTGAAGCATATTGGAAGGAATGAGGATAATGACGACATAGAGCAGAGCCACTGGGACATGCAAGGTAAGCAAGAAATCACCCCCTTTATGGATAACTGGCAGTGAGACCTGGGGGATGCTTGTTACTGAAGCATAACCTAGTCTAAACTGTCTGATGCATACATCTTCTATTTGATATATTTTCCTCTGGAAACCACAGACTGGTTCTGCTTGTAGAATGCTGCTGTTCCCTCCCCACATGCCCCCAGAAGCTGGTTCTTGTGTGTATGTATGTGGGGAGGTGGGGGAGGGGAGTGTCTATTTTTAAATGGGGGATGCAACTGATAAGTGGCACCTCATTTTTCTCCAGGCTGTATTCCTCCATCATCTTGTCGCCTTGCTCCTGGAAGGTGATGATGATCAAGGCCACAAAGATATTGACGAAGAAGAAGGGGAACACGACAAAGTAGACGACATAGAAGATGGACATCTCCATGCGGTACCCGGGGCTGGGACCCTGGTTCTCGAAGGTGGCATCCACGGAGTGCTTGAGAACCCTTTGAGGACCGAGGTGGGGAGGTGGGGCAAGTGGGACAAGGGGACAGGAACAGAGAGAAATATTAAGAGAAAATGGACAAGAAATAAAAGTAATCTGTTTTCTGACTCCAGTTACCGTGGTTACTTTATGAAGCCGAAGGCTTCTCACCTCCTTTGTCTGTGGGGAGTGTTAACAACGTCAGCTACTTTTACCACCATGTATTGGGAGCCTGTTATGTGCCAGAAAAGAAGTTCAATGGTTTATTTATTTTCCCAGCAACCCTCGTAGGGAGGTTCTTACTGGCTCCATTTTCCACACAAGGAAACCAATTGTCAGCAATTTAAAGTGACTCACCGAAAATGACCTGCTCAGGCGTGGCCAAGTTGGGATTTGAAACCAGGAGTGAGTAGGGGTCATGGAGGCAGGGGGTGTGTGTGTGCATGGAGGGGTGTGTGTGTGTGTGTGCGCGCGCGCACACATGTGTTTAAGTTCAGGTGGTGAGGAGCTGCAGAGGAGCAATGGGGATGCACGTGAGTGTGTGTGCACAGCTGCTCTGTGCGGTTGCAGAGGTTGTGCACTGCTCAAGGGCTCTGTGCCCAGGGGTGACATTCATACCATAGACATGATAGATTTGTGTATTTGTGTAGACAACTTATTGGCAGGTGGCCATAAAGTGCCTTATTTGAGTAAAATCATTAAGTATATCACAAACGGTTTTCTGACAGATGGAATGAAGTCTGTTGAGGAAGGAGTGTCTTTAAATATTTCACCCAAAGGTACCTTCTGGGCTCCATTGGCCCCAAGTGTGTGGGCACTAAGAGTGTGCGTGGGTGAGTAGAGATGTGCGGGTTGGCATGACTGCTGAGAGAGGAGGTGGTGAGGATGCCGAGGGCACATACTGGAATCTACCCAGCTTTCAACCTGGTGCTTCTCAGATCGCCAGGAGAAGCTGGACTAAGGCACAGACTGTGAGGCGCTTGCTTTGGGCACAAATTAAGGGGGGTTCCAACATCCTCAATAATCAAGATAAATAGTATTTTAGTGCAGTATTTTGGTAAATCAAAATGAATGTCCCAAACCCCGTGATGAACATCATCAAAATTTCAAATAAAGACAGGGTCTGACCCTGCACTTGCACGGTTCAGCCTCACTGTCTCACCCAGGCCTGGCCCCTCTGGGAGAGAATGGTCCTGTGGTCAGACCTGGACAGTGCCCTGTCTTGGAGATTTGCATTCACCAGCACAGAAAGGGTTAAGAGGACATGACTGCCTGTGTACAGGGAGCCTTTCGGTAAATTAGAAACAGTGTCCCTTCTGGGAGATCCTGGGATGCAGCCCCGTGCACTCGGCCTGGTGAGCTAAGTGAGGGCTGGACTTCTGCCCCTAGAAGCCTGGCCACATGTGGAGGTTGACGTCCTGGTGACAACCCTTGGGCATCTAGCAGGGCCCCCATCTTGGGGAGTCAGGAGCACACCGCCCCTCCCAGGTCTTTCTCAGCAGTGGGCTCTCAGCCCCTTTCCCCTCCTGCTCCCCGGGGCCCGAGCTGCTCCTGCGGGGCTCCCTGGCGGCCCACTTACTGCGGCCAGCCTTCGCCCGTGGACACGGTGAAGAGCGTCAGCAGGGCCCACAGCACGTTGTCGTAGTGGAACTCATACTTCTTCCACTCGCGGTCCCGCGCCTTCACCTCGTTCTTCTCGTACAGGAGGTACTTGCCGCTGCCACGGAAAGTGGGGCCGTTAGTAAGAGCAGGAAGGGGGCTCGGGACACTTGTCTTTGGCTCCTGGAGACAGGAGGAGGAGGAAGAGGGGCGCACCAGCCCACACTGCCTCTCCCTCAGCCCGGGAAGCAGAGACACCCCGTATTTCTCCCTCGTGTGTGTATCCAGCTTGCGACAAGCCCACGGGTGATGCTGTGACCCCACGACCTGTGGCAGCGCCGACGGAGGCTAGCACCCTCTTCCAATGCGAAAACTTCTAGTCTCGATGGGGGAGCCTCAGATTTGGGGGTTTAAGAGCAGGGAGAGAGACAGGCACATTTCTGGGTTCGTCAGGCCAATGGGGGCGGTGGCTGCTCCTTTTCAGGGCAGGAATCAAAGCTGAGCTCTGGCCAAACACCAGGATCCTTCCAGTTCTAGGAACAGCCACCAAAATATCCACAGGCTGACATCTGCCGCACCAGCACCAGCAGTGTCCACTGAGCACTCGGTTAAATGGAAGGCCCAGCGCTTCCCTGAGCTGAGGCCAGAGCCCTCCGTCGTGAGGCCCACGACCCCTCACCCACACCCCCAAATCCAGAAAGTTCTGAAAACCAAACACCCTTCTCCTATCTCAGGGGTGGGCAAGTTATGGCCCCTAGACCAAATGTGGACCAGTTTCTGTATGGCCCATAAGCTAAGAATAGTATTTTTTAAAACATTTTTAAATGGTTGAAAACAAATCATTTATCTGCTTGTCCCCGGCTGCTTCTGACCTGTGTGGCAGCACTGAGCAGTCACGACAGAGACTGTGACCCAAACAGCCAAATGTGTTTACTACCTAGCCCTTGACAAAGTGTGCCCATTTTGGATTTCACTTCTTTGGTAACAAAACTTGACCCAATTGGATGTGAGGCTCTAGATACTTGTTATTTATCCCATTTGGTGCAAATAGGTACACGTTTCTGGGCAGAAATACTGTGTACCACATGGTAACAAAGTTTGAGAACAGGGCTGCTCTGGACCCAGCCGAGGGTGGCAGGCCCTGTGAGGGTCATGCACTATAAATCTCAAAATATTCTGATTTGAAACACACCTGCCTGTAAAGGTTTCATATAAGGGAGCATGGATGTGTATTAATATCCCCCACTTGACAAAACTGGTGAATGAAAAGTTAAGCAACTAGTTTATGGCTCATCCCAAAGGGACGGACAGAGACTTAAAATTCCATCACTGTTTTCCCTTCTCCAGACTCTAGCGGCTTCCATCAGGTCACTCCCCAGGCCCAGCACTGCAGCTTCCGAGCCAGGAGACTGGTGCCTCTGCAGCTCCCCACCCACCAGCCCCAGTGGGGACCCTCGGAGAGGGGAGACCTACCGACAGTCTTTCTCAAACTCCTTGGACTCATCGGTGCAGTGGAAGAACTTCCCCTTGAAGAGCTGCACGGCCACCACGGCAAAGATGAACATGAACAGCATGTAGACAATGAGGATGTTGAAGACATTCTTGAGGGAATTCACCACACAGTCAAACACGGCCTGACGGGTGAGGTTGAGAGAGGGTGTGAGGGGCTGGGGGCCTGCCGAGCCTCCGCCTCCAGCAGCGCACAATACCAGAGTATTGTCATCGTTCCCATTTTACAGACCAGGACATGAGCCATGTTAAGACCACACAGTTCTGAGAAGTAAATGTTGGGTCTGGACCCAATACCAAAAATGCCCCATTTTAACCCCTGGGAAGTGGAAACCCTTCTATGAGCCTCTCCAGGTTAACGGTGTGGCTCTTCAGGGCAAGAGGAAAGGTCCTCAATGGAGAGGGAATTTCCTGTTAATTTTGTATCCCTGCCTCACGCCACTCCCTGTCTTCATCGCTTGGACTTCTGGATTTGAGAGATGACTTCCTGTGCCCAGGAGATTTTGCCCTGGGCAAGATGGGACCCTTCCATCAACCCCTGGAGAAGGTGGGGGTCCTGGTCTGGAATGTCCCCCACCCTGCTCTGCTTCTAATCACATTGGGTCCTAACCATGAGAGGACACCAAGGATCATTGATCCTGCTGGCATTACAGGCTAGCTTAGCCAGCTTTCCCCAGGGCGAGAGAGTGCATGGCTTGCATGGGGCTTTCAGAGGGGGCTGTGACCCAGAAAATGGCAAGGACCACTCAACCGAAAACTGCTGGGATACCATGTATTTCAATGCAAGTGCACTTTCACATTCAAAGGGCAGCCACGTGTCATCTCTGTTAACATTCCTCGACATATTGGCATTCATGTCAATATTCCAAAATCATGGCAGTGGGCACGCCCTTGGTGATATCGGACACAGTTTTAGGTCCTATAGGAGCCCAACACTAAGTTCCACTGAATCACACAGTAATAAAGTTATTCCTGCTCCAATTCTCTTTCAGTCCTTTTGAGGGAAGGAGAAAGTCTTCCTTAGTTGCTCCTAACACTGTCAACTCCTAACACTGACACTTTTCATTTTAATCAGGAAAAAGCAGTATCTATGTTCAAAGCCTTTGTCAGGCAACAGTATTTGACTAGATTTTAATAGCGGTATCTTATGTTTGTTGAACAGATATTTAGTTTTACCTTTGGTTAACAGTGGGTTCTGGTTTTCCAATTTGAAAAACTGGTTTTCCAAATTTGACAAAGCATTTCCTTTTAAAATAAACCCACTTAAGCAAAAAACAAAGTGACTTGATTTAAAGAAACATTAAGAGATGATACCTTCAGGTGGAGCATAAACTGAAAAGATGTTCTCAAGTGACTAGGTTTTATTTCATTTTCTCCCCCTTCTTTTTTAGAATAATAAGTTTTGGGGATGCTGGCTCACCATATTTTGCAACAGGAGATACTGGAGCCTCGGATAGGCAGGTAAAAAGTCAGAGGGTATGTAGGACCAGACACCTAGTGTGCTGCTTCCCAGATTAGGGTGACATCCTGTTTTATCCATGAAGCTTTCATGTGAATTAGGAAAAGGAATTCTGATGAGACATTTCATCTAACGGAAAATTGTCATAATATATAGATTTTGTTAGATCAATCCACGTTACTGCCACCTGCTGGAAAGCTGTGGTAATAAACATAGCCACACACAACGGTAGCGATGTTCTCAGCACTCCCCTCAACGCAGTACCCTTGAGCAGCGTGCAACCTGCTCAACTGCACATGGCAGCCCTGACAGGCCTCCCACATGCCCCAATCTCACCTTGAGCTTTGGCAACCGCTTGATGGTTTTAAGAGGTCGTAGCACCCGGAGGACTCGGAGAGATTTGATTGTGTTAATGTCCTTTCCTTTGCTATTGCCACTGTGGAGGGACGTTAGGGTAGGGAGAAGGGAAGAGAGGGAGCAGAGGTCAGGCTGGGTGGTGGGTGGCCCACAGCTCCACATGAGCCCACCCTTGGAGCCTGGCACAGCCCTGCCCTTGCAGGGGAAGAGTGGCCCAGCTCTCTGCTACATTTGGGCTGGGGAGCCAGTGAGCAGGTGGCTTTTTGTAGTTCTGGGGTCTGGGCTTGTTGAAGTCCCCCCAGCATCTTTCGGGGCCTGAGCAGCTGCCTGGGGTGGCCCTCAGACCCAGCACAGGGGAGCTGGCTGCCCCGTGTTCTCTTTGGAGGTAGCCTTGGCACGCTTCCAGAAAATAAGATTTTTTCACCATCCCAACAGGATTTAGGAGGTGCTTAAGGCAGCCCTTAAACCAACACCCCATGCCCCCAAAATTCCCTGAGTCCACAGGACTGGAAAGAACCAGAACACCAGGTGCCTTGGTTTTTCAGGGGCCCTTTGCCCATCGTTGTCAGACAGCTGCATAGGGGTTCAACCCACTGGGTGTGAGTCTTAGCAGCACAGACCCTGGGGACAAGGCCCCCTAAGAGGAGGGCACGGGGTGCGGCCATCAGAGGCTTGTGAATGGTACACACCAGTCACTGAAGCCAGAAACCGGAGAGCCATGTTCAACTTCCTGTCCTCCATCCCCACCCCAGTGAGCCGCCTCCTAAACACCTCCGCCACTCATCCCTGGCCACAGTCTGAGGTTGGACCCCCATTACCCCTCTCCCAACTTTCCCCCACTCCCTGTCTCCCTTCTTCCATCTTTCCTGCACTCAGTGGCCAAAGCCAATGACCATGTCCCTCTCCCGCTCAGAATCCTCCGGGAGCATCTGAATTTCTAGAAGTGTGTCTTGAGGCTCTTTGAAATCTAGCCCACCTTACCTTAACCTTTGCATTCTCATCACCTGCTACACCCCCAACCCCCCGCCACACCCTTTTGCCTCTGCTTTTGCACATTCTGTTCCCACTGCTGGAAATGCCTTCCCTGCACTGCCCCAGCCACAGGACCATGCAGCCCTGAAGGTCAATTCAACGCCCCTTCACCTGACGTCCTCCTCTGACTGCCTCTGGGTTCTGCCAGACCCTAGCGCTGTTTCAGAATCATCTTTCTGTCTCTGCTTTTGGCTTTAGACAGAACACTTCTCAAAGGCTTAAACTGTGATTTATTCTTCTGCATGCTCATTTCCCCTTTAATCTTGTTTTTCTGTCCCAGCACCCAGCATACACCTGGCCTGTGGTCTCAGGACACATGTGGATTCAGATCAGAGTTCTTTGGGGGTGTGTGTGGCCAGTCTCCTAGCAACCATCTTCCTATAGTTACCTCCTGGATCATAGATAAGAGTTTTCTCAAAGACCCATCTGGGTAGCCAGGTGCAAAAACACCATTTGCATTTGCAGAGCTCCCTCTCTCCTTTTTCAGGGAATAAAGAGAACTGGACATCAGCTATGTCCCAGGATTCAGCAGCCTGAACATGTATTTTCTCTCTCTTTCTTTTTAATGTTTTTATTGATTTTAGAGAGAGAGGAAGGGAGAGGGATAGAGAGAGAGAAACATCGATTAGCTGCCTCCTGCACGCCCACTACTGGGGATCGAGCCTGCAACCTGGGCATGTGCCCTGACGGGGAACCAAACCAGTGGCCTCTTGGTTCATGGGACCACGCCCAACCGAGCGGATGTACCCCAGGAAGGGTGTCCCCAATGTCAGCCACTCAGCACATCAAGATTTTAGCAGGGTCCACATACAACCTAGATGTCCAGTTTTCTCTTTTGGTTTTCTCTTTTAAACCAAAGTCATCATTATTGTTTCAAGGCTGTGCCCCTACAGTATGAGACACACTTCAGGAGTCACTGAGATCATTTTAGGCAGAACAGGGACACAATTAAATAACTGGGTCACGCAGGGGAACAGTCATTTCTTTTTCAAGTGTCTTTCAGGCTTCTGCTTCAGTCAGAGGGGAAGTCTCCAGTTTGTGCTGTGGATCCTGAACACCTTCTTAGCACTGGCAAATTTCTTTTTTAACAAACAACCCGGCTGAAATACAACAACTTGCGAAGCAACTGTTTCAGTCGGGTTGGATTCATGTTTGCAACTGTGGTTCTGTCTGAGGTTAATAATACTGGCTGTAAGGGGATAATACAGAGTTTCATAGCAAGACTAAAATGAAGTTTAGACTGTGTGTTGGAGGAAAAAAACGTCAAGCAACTGGACATCTAGCTTGCGTGTGGACCCTGCTCAAGTCCTGATGTGCCGAATGGCTGACATCGGGGACACCCTTCCTGGGGTACATCCGCTCATCTGAAAATGACTCCATGGCCACTGTGGGGAGGGTCTCTCTTCCAGGAGACACTCTGCCCCCTGGAAAGGATGAGAAGCCATCCTGCTACTGAGGCACTGGGGAGAGTGTCCCTGGCAGTTGGGCTCCTGAGCATGCAAAAATAGGTTGATTAAGGCGCTTTTAGAGAAAACAACCAGATTTTGGAACCACTTTGCTGAACACGTAGATACTCCTGGGTGTGGGGGACTTTCTGCTCTCATATCCCAAGTCCAGCTGTTTGGACAGTTCACCCTTCTGTCATCTGGGAGGTGGACACTCTCATTCCTCTGGTAACTATCACAGAGGTCAACTGCCATATTGAAATCAGACCCTGGGGAGCCCCCCGCTTCCGTTCTCCACCAAGGTAGGTGGTCATGGTGGGAGGCAGTGGCCAAGACCTCTCAGTGTTCCTCCTCTCTGGGGAGCAGGCTGAGGGGGTCTCTGGTCACTGCAAGCAACAGGACAGCAGCAAGGACACAAGGCCATGGAAACAGGCCCAGAACCAACGCAGCTGCACCAGGGCATGAAGAACGAGAGACAGACGAGAGAGACAGAGAGAGACAGAGAGAGAGAGAGACAGAGAGAGGAGAGACTGAGACTTTACCGTGAACTGCTCCTGGTGAGGTGGCGTCGGAGGGAGAGACAGATCGTAAGCGGCCTCAGAAGAAAGAACACAGAACACGCACATACGCACACACACACCTGAGAACCCCCTGCCCTTCGCGAGCACCAAGAGGGGCAGCCTCAGGCTCGCGGCTCCGGCTGATGTCCATCCTTCCATCAGGAAGCTCCCCCCTCCCGTTCCGTCCCCTGCCCTTGGCAGGCCCCTGGCACTGCCCAAGAACACTGAGAAAGCCAAATTTCCAAGTAGCAGGACAGCCAGAAGGTCATCAATTACCAAAGGCAAATTTGCCACTGAGGGTCACTGCCAAGAGCTGGAGAAATGGCCTTTCTCCAGAGGTTCTGGTGCTGGAGGGCTTTAGAATGCCCTGGAGGTTACGAGCTTTGGAGCTGGGGCACCTGGGTTTAGGTCCCAGCTCTGCTCTTAATTATCACTCTCATCTGTAAAACAGGTCTCTGGGGCTCCGATGCTCAGCTGCTATGCTCGTGGCTTTATCCCCTAAGTCATGAAGAAAGGGTCAGTAAAGACTTCCAACCTGGGATGAAACTGAGGGCAACTCCCCAGAGTCCTCTGAGAAAATGAGGGCCTCTCGGCGTCAGGCAGCGGCCCCTTGCTCATCTCATCAGGCTTGGTCTCGTTACAGCCCTCCAACCATGACTGGAAATCAGGGTGAGAAAACCCCGACTGCCAGCAGGCGGTGGGAGCCCCACTGCCAAGCAGATACTCTACAGAATTTCCCATCCATCACCCCCTTTGAAGTGAGTGCTATTTTCAAAACCAAAGAATGGCTTAAATTCCTACAAATGCTCCCATTGGGTTTCCTCTCCCCCTACCCTTTCCCATTGCTCGGTGGTTCTCAAAGCTCCAAGCATCTAGGGATTACTGCACACACAGAATTGTGTAGATTCTCCTTTATAGATTATTAAGGAGTCATTCAATGACAGTGATTTTTACTAAACATGCTGACTTTAAGTGTCACACATAACTCTTTTAAATATCTCTGCATCTATCTGCGGGAAATGACACCATTATATGCCCATTTTCCAGATGAGGCCCAGGGAGGGAGCGTGACTTGTCCCAGGTCACCTAGGTGGGAAGCAGCAGACTGAGACTTAAATCCAGGTGTGCATATCTTGCACCCTAATCTCTTTTCTGTTTCATCACATGCAAGAAAAATGATGCCTTCGAGGGGCGGGCCCTCTTTTGAGAATGGGGATAAAATAAGTGGCAGTCTGAGGGCCCCTTCTTTGGCTTCCTGGGGGTTCAGCTCCTGAGCATGCAGGAGAGGCTCGATCAAGGTGCTCCACCAGCTGTGCCCGGCTGCCTTGAGGGAGGAGTGGCAGCACCAGATGGACTCTTGGCAGTGAGGGCAGGATCATGATCTGTCAGCTGCTGAGAAATGTCAGGTGGCTGCCCAGATGCGTGGGCACAGAGCGTGATGTTACATATGATGGCTCATGAGATGGCGCATTAATGGCAGTCACATGGACATGGCACACGGTCAGTGGGTGGGCAGGACACACACAGATATTCGGGCGAGGTGCAGGAGGGGTGGAAACTGTCAGGAGAGCTTCGACACATCCCTTGGAGGACCACAGGGATTGGTTTTCATACCCGAGACGGGGCCACAATCACAGCAACGCAGCAGAGTCCTTGCCTCCACCCCAAAAGGCCAGAATAGCAACAGGGAGGGATTCCTTCCCACAAGGGAGAGAACAGTCTCGTGCCCTCTTCCCCTGGATTTCCAGCGCCTGTCAGGGCCTCCAGGAACCCAGGCTGGCTGGGCTACCAAGTCTGATTGTGCCAACTTCTGAAAGCCTCACGACCAGGGCCGGGAGACCGGCAGCAACCCTGGATCTGACAGCGGAACTCGACTTAGTGATCTTGCTAGACTCATTTCCCTCTGGGCCTCAGTTTCCTGATCTATAAAATGGGAGCACTAAGAGCTTCCCACAGAGGGTTGCTATGAAGATTACATAAATGGAGGGCTGTCAGTATCATTATTACCAAGTCGATTTTCTTGATTTTATGGGGGAACTGAGGCACTGAGAGGCTAATGGACTTGCACGTCTAGAGAGAAATCAGACATTTGCAGGAACCTTTTTCTAAAACAATAAGGTTAATCTAACACTTGTCGGGGGTCTCAGCCTTGTCTATGAGGAGACAGGCACATGGGACAGAGAAAGCAAGTTAAAAGACCAGAAAGAAGAAGTAAAGGACTCTGGGGTTGGGTACTCAGGCTGAGATCCTTAGAGCATACTCTGCTCCTGCCAAAATGATATCTACTTGGTAACAAGAAAGACAGTAAGCTAAGTCCTCATGGGGCAAGAGAACTTCTCGGGCAAATGTCAGAAACTGGCAGCCAGAGGGAGGATTCTAAAGCTTTTCTGGGGTAAAAAGGAACAGCTTGAGGGCTCCTTCTTTAGCTTCCTGGCAGTTTGGCCCCATGGGAATGCAGGAGTGGCTTGATCAAGGTGCTCGGCCAGCGGTGCCAGGTCTGCAGCCCTGACCTGGAGGAGGAATGGCAGCACCAGATGGATTCTTAGCAGTAAGGTGGGGAAGGCATGTCTGAGTTGGGGTCTCAGGGTCTATCTCTCCCAGCCCTATGCCCATTGTAAAGAGGTGCTTCCTTAATTGTCAGCTCTTCCAAAATCCCATGAGAGTCCCTGGCATTTGTCAGGATTCCACTGGCAAAATCTTGCACCCCCGGTTCTTGTTATATCCATGAGCCCACTGAGGCTCATAGGATGGCTTTGAATCTCTGGACCTTTCCTTGTATTGGAATTTAAAAAAAAATTTAAACAGGGATTTTCAAGGTCACAAGCTGAGGCTGGCTTTGTGCCTGTAGCAACTTCATGAAACCAGCTTAAAAGGTTGACTCCAGAAGTATGTTGCCAAATTTCTGTAGGCTCATTTAGAAAGCCTTTGTATGACTATATTGAAAAAGAAAATGCAGAAATTAAAAAAACTATCTGTTCCCTGTGGCAGATTCTTTTGCAGCACAAAGAATCATTCTGCTGATTGATTTTTCGTGGAAAAATAATTTTGTTTTTACAGATTTGGTTGGCTTAAAGTGGAGCTTAATTATGGATCCAGGGAGCCCAGAAACAGCATATTGCAAACTACAGTCCATCATGGCAAAAGCTCCATGGTTGAAAGGCTTGTTTCTGGGTCTTTTGAAGGCCTCTCCTTCCCCAAATTGGGAGGGTCGAATTGAGGGATGGAGGTGGGACTGGGCAGCAGTGGGGCCCTCTCCTCAGAGCTGAAGCATGTCAGCTTCAACTGAGGTCAGGGAGAAGTGCCAGGGTGAGCTGATCAGATGTCACTTCTACTGTGCCACTCCCAGTGGTGGCTATGGAGGGCAAAACCCACTACTCAGGGCACAGCTGGCAAAGCAGGGGAGTTCGCGAACAGATGGACGTGACTGACAGGGTCCCCCCTACTTCCTGCCACCAGGTGAACCCTGGAGCTGCTGGGCAGAGGTCATCCTGGAGGGCTAGAGGAAGCGTGGGAGAGGTGCCTGCCGGAGCTGGCCCTCCCCTGTCATGAAGACCACTCCCCAGACACAAGGAGGGCGGTGGGTCTCCTGATGCCAGAGCACACGGTGGAGTGTCTGCCTTCTCCTGGCCACACTCAGGTCAGGTGACGGTTCGGCTCCCATCACCAAAGGATATGGGCCAGGGAGGGAGGAGGAGAGACAAAAAATAAAAAGACAGAGAGGAAGGGAGGGAAACAGAGAGAAGGGGAGAGAAAGCAAGAGAGGGAGCCTGAGAGAGAGAAAGAGAAAAAGGAGCGAGGGAAGGAAGGGGTTTGAGGGCTGATCCAGGCTGAGGGCAGTAAATGTTTGGCTCTTCAGAGTTTAAACGGCCTGAGGGCCTAGCAGGGTGCTTACCTGACACCTCTAGGAGCCCCTCAAATAGCTGCTGGAGGGAGGGAGGAGTGTATTTTACTATACTGTCACAGGCCCTGTGTATTACCTTTAAAATTATTTTTTTTTCCCCCTGAAGAAACTGGTGTTAACTTGATGAGAAGCAAATTGTATCTGGTTTGTTTTAATTTCTTTTTGAGTCCTTTGCTCATTTACCTATCGTGGGTCAGTGTTTCTTAATGATTTGTAATTGCTTTTTATATATTAAGGCCATTGACTTGTCTTATTTGCGCTAATTCCCCCATTTGCTGGGCATTTAACTTTGTTTATTTATTTACTTTTTAAACAAATATATCTTTATTGATTTCAGAGAGAGGAAGGGAGAGGGAGAGAGAAATAGAAACATCAATGATGAGAGAGTCATTGATCGGCTGCCTCCTGCATGCCCCCGACTTGGGATGGAGCCTGCAACCCGGGCATGTGCCCTGACCGGGGACCGAACCACCATCTCCTGGATCCTAGGTTGATGGTTAACTGTGGAGCCACGGCGGCCGGGCTGTTTATTATTATTATTTTTACCTACAGAACATCTTAATGACAGTGTGGCCAAACTTCTTGCTTTTAAAAAATAATCTCTTCCATTGCTCTAATACTACAATAAATAATTACTTTAAGAAGAGGGAGGGAAAGGAGGAGGGAGGGCAGGAGGGAGGGAAAGAAAAAAGGAGCCAGTGCAGAGAGAGAAAGATGAGGGGAAAGTAGAAGATAAAGAAAAAAGGGGGTGGGGAGGGGAACAGATCAGAAATATAATCAGCCTCCTGGCCCTCATGGTGCATCTACACTAGCTCAGAGGCATCCACAACTCTGGAGACTTCTTGCTCTTTGGACACAACCTGACTTTACTGCATTCCTGGGGAAGAGTCTGACAGTGGCCCACTTCAGTCCTTAAGTTGGAAATGGGCCATCACTTTGGCCCTCATGGGCCAAAGCCCTTGTTGTTTGGTCAGGGGGCCATTCGAGAACACCCTACAGATCTGCTAAGAGGGCAGCCAGGAGGCAGGGGCACAGAGAAGCCCCTGATTTATCACTGCTGGGGGGCAGGTAGGTCAGAATCCCTCTGAGACTCTCCTTCCTGGGAACAATCCACTGTGATGGGCAGAGACAGGGACTCCAAGAAGATTTGTTTCTGGATTAGGGGCTGGTTAGGTCTTTTGATCCTGACCCAGATGCCTACAACTTGAGGAATGTACGGCTAAGTTTGCTACCAGGGCCCTAAGAGCTAATGCTGCTTAGCCTTTGGGTGCCACCCTGGAGTTGCCTGACGACGCACGGCCTTTTATATATGCCACGTGTCCTGGGGTCACCAGGAGAAGTGAAAGACACACAAGGGGAGTCACCAAGTCTACAACTATGGGGGCCTCAGGCACAGGGTGGGGGTCTGAATTCTCATGCACATTTGTTTCCTGATTGTCTTTTTAGGGGTTCCCCAAAGAGACAGTGGTTTGGGTGACGCTTACAGAGCAGAAGGGAGATGAAATGTCCTGGCAGGGCTAGTCTACGGAAAGCAGCAGAGCGGGGGGTCGTGACGCGAGGAGGCAGAAGGTGGAGTCCCTCTCCATCTTCCTCCACGGTGGACAGCATGCAAAAGCCAATCGGAGCTCTTCCCAGTGGCATGCGATGCCTCCCACCACCCAGAGCCCACGCTCCCCATCCCTACACCATGAGACCACGTCCTCTGATCCAATGGGGCAAGGGGGCCGAAGAGGCATGTGGAGGCCTCGAAAAGAGACTTACGTGAAGGCAAAGGCCACCAGGGCCCCACTGACCACTATGAAGTCAAGAATGTTCCAGAGGTCACGGAAGTAGGCACCCTGGTGCAGGACGAGCCCCAGGTCAATCATCTATGGGGGTAGAAGAGACAGTGCTCAGGTCCCTCATCCCCACCTTGGGAGGAGCCCCCACCCTTCTAGGGGCATGGTCACCAATGGGGTCACTTTGTACTGTAGGGATGAGGCAGAGGCCAGAGGATCTTGGCGAGGAGTGAGAAGCCCCACCCAATGAGAGCTGGCCCCTCTCCACCTCATGAAAGGTAGCTCTGACTTGCTGGCTCTTAGGCCCAAACCTTAGGGTCCCCCTTGACTCCTTGCTTTACACTCCACTTTGGATCTACCAGCAATCCTTGGTTCTACTTTCCAAACCTTCCAAAAATCTGCCCACTTGTCACCTTATCTGCTTCCACCCTTATCTGGCCCCCATCATCACTTGTCTGGGCCAGCTCAATCATCTGTTCCTAGTTTTC